TTCCAGAGTTTAACCGAATATTAGAATTTTCCAGTCCAGAGATAGCCTATTTTTTTTAGTTGTGTCGACTCCTTATAATTATGCGATCCGAATATTAGCCTTATTATTTTCCGCCATTTTGATTATCAAGCCGTCTCATTTTATTCTAGTAACCTTTGATTTTTTTTAGGGGATTAATTTTGGCAGATATTTTAGCCTTAAGATCAGTTTTTATCCCAGCCGTTACGCACACTTAATCTTCCAAATTAATGGGGGGTTTGAATTATTCTTTCAACCACTCCAGATTTTTACTCTTTCAGCCGTTATATTACCTTCTATCTTGCACAAGTTCAGAAACTGCAAGCATCTTCGAGCAGATAAAAAAAAAATCCTTAGCATATTTTCTTTTTTTTGTTCGCCATATTCAATCGAGAAGAAGAGATTTCTCTTCATCATCGCCTCTGCCATATAATCAGATTTCAGTCTTTAACCTCCGCCGGCAAAGTGACCAGCAAGGAGTAGACCTATTCTCGCCCCTTTGACGTGAGACCCCGTCGGCCTCCGTTCAGCGGCCCGAATAGCAGCGGCACCCCGTCGGCCTTCGTTCAGCGGCCGAGCAGCCAAAGCAGTCCCCGCTTTTGTGCGTAACTGCAGCAATCCCGTTCGAGCACCCTCGTCCGTTCGATCAGCATAGCGGATAGCCGTCGTAAGAACCGAGACCGAAACCCGACGTCCGAGACTCTTCGTTTTCAGTTTTTCGTTTCCGTTTCATTCCCGAAGGAGGTATAAGATTTTACCCCTCTCTTTGATTTTAGATTTAAAGTTTAAGGATATTTCATGCTTAAGGTTCGTAAGATGTGAATGAGTTAAATTCATGAAAAGAGAATTTTGTAAATTAGAAGATTCATGAATTTTGAAGTAGTAGGGATTGATGTTGAACTCTCGGATTCTTGCCAGTTAAACTGTGAAAGTCGTGAAATTAATTGTTAGCAGCAGAAACATTTGTCTTTGTTTTGCTGAGATTAAGAAAAAAAAAAAAAAAGAAAATCCAACCTTTTGCCATTTGAAATCCTTTATTTATTTTTCGAAAATTTTGAGTAGGGCTAAGATACTGGTGTGAAATTTAATCCCTACTATTATGTGTTAAAAAGCTGGAGATATTGTGTTTTACTTTGCCTTTAGTGCAATTAAACAAAATCAAACCCTTTATCCATGTTAAACCTTTTATTTTCAAATGGAGATTGGAACAGGCTATGATATTTTTAGCCTCTGGTATGTTTGTTTTTAGGCCTGATAATATTGGTTTTATATGCCTTCAGTTTTGGTTTAAATGGAGTCATTTACATTAGAAATAAATTGAGAAAAATGGAATTTTTATAAATTAT